TGGTGAAGTTTGAGTTTAGGGTACTCATCACCCGAACAGTGAACAGTGTACCCAATAGGTCACTTTTCAACCCTCACCCCCTCCTACCCTCCTATCTTTTGGAGTCTCCAGTGTCTGTTATTTCACTCTACATGTCCGTGTGTACCAATTGTTAGCTCCCACTTTTAAGTGAGAACACACAGGATTTGTCTTTCTGTTTCTGAGTTATTTCACTGAGGATAATGGCCTCCAGTTTCATCCATGTTGCTGCGAAAGACATGATTTCATTTTCTATGGCTGAGTAACATTCCATTATAAATACACACACACATATATATATATATTACATTTTCTTTATCCAATCCTACACTGATTACACTTAAGTTGATTCCATATCTTTGCTATTGTGAATAGTGCTGCAATAAACATACAAGTGCTGGTATCTTTTTTAATATAATGATTCTTTTCCTTTGGGCATATACCAGTAGTGGGATTGCTGGATCAAATGGTAGTTTTATTTTTAGTTCTTTGAGAATCCTCCATACTGTTTTTCATAAAGGTTGTACTAATTTACATTCCCACCAACAGTGCATGTTTTCTCTGCAGCCTGGCCAACATGTGTTATTTTTAGACTTTGTGTGTGTGTGTGTGTGTAAGACAGTCTCACTCTGTTGCCCAGGCTGGAGCGCAGTGGCACAATCTCAGTCTGCAACCTCTGCCTCCCGGGTTCAAGCAATTCTCGTGCCTCAGCCTCCTATCTGGGATTACAGGCACGCACCATCACACCTGGCTAATTTTTGTATTTTTAGTAGAGATGGGATTTTACCGTGTTAGCCAGGCTGATCTTGAACTCCTGACCTCAGGCCATCCCCCCACCTCGGCCTCCCAAACTGCTAGGATTACAGGCATAAGCCACCTTGCCAGGCCTAGACTTTTTAATAATAGCCATTCTGGCTGGTGTAAGATGATATCCCATTGTGGTTTTAATTTGCATTTCTCTGATGATTAGTGATATTGAGCATTTTTTATGTTTGTTGGCCATTTCTATGTCTTCTTTTGCCAAATATCTGTTCATGTCCTTTGCTCACTTTTTAATGGGGTTGTTTTTTCTTTTTGAGTTGTTTGAGTTCCTCGCAGATTCTAGATATTAGCTCTTTGTCACATGCACAGTGTGTAATTTTTTTTTCATGCTGTAGGTTGTCTGTTTACTTTGTTCATTGTTTATTTTGCTGTGTAGAAGCTTTTTAGTTTAATTAAGTACCATTTGTCTATTTTTGCTTTTGTGGCATTTGCTACTACATAGTTTTAATGGTTTCTTTGGCTGCCTACATTGCTCCTGCTTCCTTGGACTTTTTCTTTTCCTGTTTGTTTTGGTGTCTGTCATTCTGGTGATTCTTGGCTGGCTGTTCATGTTTTGAAGTGGAACTGCTAAACAGCTGCCAAGTGGCCAGGCTGGACTTGTTGAATGATAGACTTACAGTGGGCAATTGGATGCAGCCCTTGCCATTTTGCCAGAGGTGCCCAAAATGTTGGAACCTGAAAGTTCTCCAATGTCCTGCCTGGAGGGCCTAACCTTCATTAGGGTTCTAGGAGTCCAACAGGCAAAGGGCTGGGGGGCTAACTGCATTTACTTAACTCCTTTTTGTTTCCCCAGTGAAATTACTCCTTTTTGCCCTCAGCTATCTAGGGATCTTCTGTCCTAGGCTTTAGTCTCCTACAGGGCACCTCCATATTCTGAGTAGAAGGGGCATTATAGGAGACTAGAGCCTAGAAGAGAGACCTGAGGATTTAATCAGAACTCCTTATGAAGATTTCCCACCATCTCCCCTGTGTTCAGCCCACTCTGCATCATGGTCTTCAGATGTCCCTATTGCCTCTGATGTCCTATTTCTATCTTTGAGAAACATTTTGTATATGTAGAAGCTATCTAATCCTTGAAGGTTCAGATAAAACATTTTAAAAAACTATTTGTTCCTGGTGTTTATTTTTCTTTGCATTATAGAAAAATTTTCAAATACAACGAAAGTAAAATAAATGATGATGACCCTATTAACTTAAAAATCACATAATCTATGCGTTTAGAGAGAAGTATTTCTTGTAAAGGGTTGCAGGCTGCAAGGTGGCCATGTTACAGGCTGGGAACCATAGCCTTAGGGTAGATCAGAGATGGGCACTTTGAAGGAAGAGGGGTAATGACTGGGTTGGCCAAACATGCATATTCAATAGGTTACAGGAGGATCTATGAATATTCATGAAGGTGGTCCTGATACATGTGTATTGAACAAACATGCATATTACACATGCCCATATTCACCTTGGGATGGGGCCGTTACATTTAAATGTATTACATTAGGCATTATACATTAGAATATCTTTGTAGGAGTTCAAGTGCACAGCCTCTGTAAACTGACCAGAACCAGTCCATGGTTCGTGATCTTATCAGGAGAAAGTTACTGAAGTTAGTCTTCTGTCCAATCAAAGCTTATAGTTATGGCTTATGGAGCAGGGGGTTGGTTAGTCAGCGTCTGCTGGTAGATGTGCTGCGAATTGTTCTAATATTGCTTGTCTCAAGGCCAGTGCTTATTTAGCTGCTAGAGGAAAAGAAAAACCTTGTGGCAGTTAGGACACAGCTATTCTTCAAGTGTAGGTGTGCATGACTTAACCCTTGCCTGGCCTGGCTTTAGGTCTTGTTTATAGTTTGGTACCTTATTGCCACAAAGGATCTGTTCTGTTAGTCTTATTCTCAATTTTAACATAAATGCTGATCAGTTATGTCTACACTGCAAAAAGGAGAGAATATAACAAGGTGTATCTGACCTCCTATCCTGTCTTGGCCAGGATTTCGGTTTTTAATATATGCCTGGGATCCCGTTGGCCAAGAGGGAGTCCATTCAGTTGGTGGGGAGGCTTAGGATTTTATTTTTAGTTTACAACTCTTTTTTTTTTCAAATCTTTTGTAGCATAACTTCAATAATTATCAATATATGACTGATTGTGGTGCCTTTCCTACAATCATTTCAATCATTTGTTATTGGTTAATTTAGGTTTTCTAATTTTTTTAAAGTCAATTTTGATACTTCTATTACTTTTGTAGTGAAGTATCCATTTATTAGCCTTGTGGCTAAGGGTTATAGTTCCAGAAACAGATTGTCTGGTTTTGTTTTTCCATGTGGGTAGTCATTGAAGCTCTCTGTGCCTGGGTTTCCTCATTTGTAAAATGGGAATAATAATGTTATTTATTTCATAGGATTGTTGAGAAGATTCAATTAAATCATATATGCAAAGCACTTAAAATAGTATCTGGCACATAGCAATGTAATTGTTATTGTTTAAGTTTTATTGTTATTATTTAAGTTTTAAAATTGGCATGAATTTTTTAATGGAATTATAATTTTTAAATTCCCAACTATATTTTAAGTTATGTCCCTTTTTCATTCCTAGTGTTGTTTACTTAAAATTCTTCTTTTCTTCTGATTGATCTTACATAGAATGCCTTTGTTTTTTCTTTTTTTTCTTTTTCATAGAGACAGAGTCTCACTCTGTCACCCAGGCTGTAATGCAGTGGCACAATCATATATGGCTCACTGCAGCCTCAAACTTCTGAACTCATATGATCCTCCCACATCAGCCTCCCAAGTAGCTTAGGACTACAGCACACTATCACACCTGGTGCATATTTATATATACACACACATATATATATTTATAAAATATGTATCTAATATAGATATACACATATATCTAACAAGATATATATATGTGTGTGTATTATAGAGATGAAGTCTCATTATGTTGCTCAGGCTGGTCGTGAACTCCTGGCCTCAAGCAACCCTTCTGCCTTGGCCTCCCAAAGTGGAGGGATTACAGGTGTGAGCCACCACAGCCATCCAAACTTCCAAATTTTTTTTTTTTTTTTGAGACGCAGTCTCGCTCTGTCGCCCAGGCTGGAGTGCAGTGGCGCGATCTGGGCTCACTGCAAGCTCCGCCTCCTGGGTTCACGCCATTCTCCTGCCTCAGCCTCCCGAGTAGCTGGGACTACAGGCGCCCGCCACCTTGCCCGGCTAGTTTTTTGTATTCTTTTTAGTAGAGACGGGGTTTCACCATGTTAGCCAGGATGGTCTCGATCTCCTGACCTCGTGATCCGCCCGTGTCGGCCTCCCAAAGTGCTGGGATTACAGGCTTGAGCCACCGCGCCCAGCCGCTATCTTAATAATCTTTTAAAGTAATTGCCTTCTTTCCTTGTTCCCTCTAAGTATGCTGCATCCCACAAGTTTCAATATGTTGTATTTATAAATGTTGAGTTCAAATATTTAATAATTTCTATTGTGGTTTCCTGTTAAACCCATGATTAGAAATTACTATATATACAAGTATATTTATATAAAATAATTTTGAATGATGGTTTTAATAGGAAACCACAATATAAATTTGGCTTATTATATATAAACTATAGAAGCATAATAAATTTACTTTTCTGAGGCTTTTCTGTGACTTAGTATATGTGCTTTCTTTGTAAATGGTGTCATTTGTACTTGAAAAGGAAGTGTGTTCTCTGTTTGAAATTATTCTTCAATTTGTTTATATGTCCCTTTTTTTTTCTTTTTTAAGACAGAGTCTTGCTCTGTTGCCCAGGCTGGTGTGCAGTGGTGCAATCTCAGCTCATTGCAAAGTCCGCCTCCCGAGTTCAAGAGATTCTCTTGCCTCAGCCTCCCTAGCAACTGGGATTATAGGCGCATGCCACCACACCTGGCTAATTTTTGTATTTTTAGTAGAGATGGAGTTTCAGTATGTTGGCCAGGCTGGTCTCGAACTCCTGATTTCAGGTGACCCACCCTCCTCAGCCTCTCAAAGTGCTGGGATTACAGTTGTGAGTCACACCACACCTGGCTATATGTCCTTTTGTCTTAGTTTTTTATCTGTATTAAAATCTCCCATTGTGACTATGGATTTGGCCATTTATCCTTGAAATCCTACCCTTTTTAATGTATACATTTTGAGGCTGTGTTCCTTTTACTTTATAGTCATGAAGGTGAAGGAGAAGGCTGGGGTAGGAAAGCTGGACCACACTAACCACAGGAGGAGATTTCCGGATCAGAAAGGTGAGGTCACTTTGAGGACTTTACGCAAATCTCAGGAGGCACTGAGAATTCTCTGGATGTCTTTATAACAACTCTTGCAGCTGGAGAGTCTAGGGAGCAGGTCCCTTTTCCTGACTCATCCACAGTGTCTCCTTAAGGCTGGTGGGACCAGCCTTCATGGTATCCCCAGGTGACTGCATGGTCAGGCCGGAGACAGGAAACTGCCACTTTGCCTGTGTGGATTAGAGTATAGCTTCCCCAACACAAAATGTAACTCACCTAATTTTACAAGATCTGCAAACCATAATAAATGCCAAATATCAACATTTTATATTAATAGATTCCCAAACTGCCAGCTCAGTTAAAACCAGTGCAAGAGGATGTTGGGGTGGCAGGTATTTCTCTTGCTCCAGAATTGCTGACTTTAGAGGCCCGAAGCCTCCTACACACTACAGAGAAGAAGCCACAGGGCTTATGAAAAGGCAATCAGACGGGTGGCTAGTGCCATCATTACCCCAGCCCCATGTGAAGGAAAATACCAACCTCACTGTCCACCTACAGGCTCTGTGAGCTGCAGAATGCGTAGAGCCACTTTGGAGCTGTCAAGCAAGAAAAATGCCCTAAAGAGTTGCTAGGAGAACTTGGCACATGTCCTGAGCCAAACTGCAAGATACTTACAGTGAGAGGAGAGGTCCTGCAGAGCCACGAAGGAGAATGTAGACTTGGGTGAGGGCAAGCCACTCTCCACAGTTCACCAGCTAAATCACCATGCTCTTTTGATTATGATAGAAGCCAAGAAAATATGGGACAATTTAGATTCAGAACAGAAAGTAAAATATTTTTTTGACAGCCATCTCCTCTGATTTTTTTAATAAGTATACTCTTCCTGTGTATGGCCCCTTACAATTTGCATAATCATGTTCTCATACATGATCCCATTCTATCTTTTCAGACGCCAGTTCGGTAGAGAAAGGATTTTCATTCCCACATTACAGATGAGTTCACTGAGTCCCACAGAGGCAGGATGGCCACAGATCAAGTAAAGGACAAACCAGGGAGCACCCAGGGCAGCTGCCTCTTGGGTTGGGGTCTTTTTGATAATACCTGCTTCTTTTCATTTCCATTCCTGGCCTCAAGGGTGTGGAGAATAGGAACTTGTCGTTGGAAGACCCAAATATGCTAAGCCCTTAGAGTGGAACTACTTACCTCTAAGTGCTAGTGTCTACTTCTTATCTCAAATTGCAGCTTGCTTAAACAATGCAGTGTAGGGAAGGGAAGTTCCACCATGATATGGGGAGGTGAGAGGAGGAAGAAGGGAAACTAGTCATTCTGACACCCGTCCCCTAGGAAGCGAGGCCACACTTCATAATAATCTCCACTTCATTTTTTTCATCCCTGTTACATCCAGGGGAGAATGGGATCCAGAAGAGCATGCAGTGGGGTGAGCTGGGACTATATACAGATTTGGACACTGACATCCAAGTAACCTGACCCCCAGTACCTAGGAATGCACCAACCAGAGTAGACTCATACAACATCTCTCTAAAGCATATTCAACATCTCTCTAAAAGGCTTAGACATGCTTCTCCATAGTTCAGTTGAGAAACAGTATAGTGTTATTTGAAAGTGGACATAGATTAATTCTAACTGTATATTGCAAAGTCTAGGGCAACCACTATAATTTTTTAAGGGGTATAATTGATACACTCAGAGATGAGAGAAAACAGAATCATATAAAGTGCTCAATTAAAACCACAGGAGGAGCTGGGCATAGTGGCATGTGCCTGTAGTCCCAGCTACCCAGGAGACAGAGGCAGGAGAATTGCTTGAGGCTAAGAGTTTGAGGCCAGCCTGGGCAATATAGCAAGACCCTCTTTCTTAAAAAAAAAAAAAAAAGGACAAGTGTTGGCCAGGCGCGGTGGCTCAAGCCTGTAATCCCAGCACTTTGGGAGGCCAAGACAGGCAGATCACGAGGTCAGGAGATCGAGACCATCCTGGCTA